TCAGGAGTTCGAGACTAGCTGAGTCAACATGGCGAAACCCCATTTCTACTAAAACTACAAAAATTAGCCGGGCTTGGTGGTGGGCTCCTGTAGTCCTGGCTACTCGGGAGGCTAAGGGCAGAAGAATCCCTTGAATCCAGGAGGTGGAGACTGCAGTGAGCTGAGATCGTGCCACTGCACTGCAGCCTGGGTGATAGAGCAAGACTCCATCTCAAAAAAAAAAAAAAAAAAAAAAAAAGACTTAGGTGAGAGAGGCAGAAGTTTTAGAAGGCAGTATAGAATATCTTTATGTCTAAAGACCGATTTTTCAAAAAACTGAGTTAAAATTAAAACGTTAATTCTTTAAAAGATAAAATGAGGCCAGGTGCAGTGGCCCATGCCTGTAATCATAGTACTTTGGGGAGACCAAGGATGGTGGATTACTTAAGCTCAGGAGTTCAAGACCAGCCTGGGCAACATGGAGAAACCCTGTCTCCACAAAAAATACAAAAATTAGCTGGGCATGATGGTGCCTGCCTGTGGTCCCAGCTATTTGGGAGGCTGAAGTGGGAGGAATGCTTGAGCCCCAAAGGTAGAGGCTGCAGTGAGCCGTGATTGCACCAAGCACTCAAACTGGGATGACAGAGCGAAACCCTATCTCAAAACCAAACAAAACCAAACAGAACATAAAAACGATAAAATGAGATGAAAAGACAAGGCAAAAACTGAAACGACTTATTTGTGAATCATAAATCTGCACAGCAATCTAATATGGTAACTACCAGCCACATATAGCTATTTTATCTAAAATTTAATTATCAGTAGCTCTAGACACATTTCAGGTACTCAGTAGTCATACGTGGCTGGTAGCTACTCTAATTCCCCTAATATGGAACATCATCATCTCAGAAAGTTCTCTTTGGACAGCACTGATCTAGAACATATACAGCATTTTTAAACTTCTAAAATAAACAACTAAAAAACTGGACAAGGAGCATTAATAGATATTTGACAGAACAAAAACACAAAAATTTACTATAAGCATGCCAAAAGGTGTTTCAACCTCATTTGTAATCAGAGTGAGGCAAGTGCAACTCACCTGATACCCTTTCAGACAGCCCACATTTGGCAAAGGATTAAAAATCATATAATATTAGATATTAAAGGAGATGCAGATAAGCAAGTGACCCATGACAGCCACTGTGGAAGCAGTCTGTTGAACACTGACATCTAGCACTTCTACTCTAGAGAAGTGATTCTCCACCTGAGCTGAATAGTGCCCCCTTGCCCCACTATTTAGGGCATTTGTGTGTGGAGACACATATACAACACACAGTTCTGCCATCATTAAGTTGGCAGGAGGCCAGGGATAATAAAATTCCTGCAATTAAAGGAATTATTCCTTCTGTACTATGTACAGAGGTATGAACAAAAATCAAAACATTAGAACAAAATTTAAAAAATTAGCCAGATTTAGTGGTGTATGTGTAGTCCCAACTACTTGGGAAGCTGAGGCAGGAGGATTGCTTGAGCTCAGGAGTTTGAGGCTGCAATAAGCAATGATTGTGCCACTGCACTCCAGCCTGGGCAACAGAGCAAGAACCTGTCTCTTAAAAAACAAAACAACAACAAAATTAGAAACAGCCCAAACAACGTCAGCTATAAAATGGATACATAAATTGCATATAATGGAATACCATAGAAATGGAAATAAATGACCCTTAATTACGGATGTCAACATGGGTGTTTCTAACAAATATGAAGCTGAGTGAAACTAGCAAGATATGTGAATATAAACATATGCTTAAAATTTATATAAAGAACAAAAAATAGCCAACTCAAAATTAATTTGGGGATAAATACATATAAAACAAATCAAAAAAAAAAATGCAAGGGAATTGCTAACCAAAAATTAGGATAAGGCTACCTCTGAGAGGGAGGGAGGAAGGTACTCTCTTTGGAAGGTCATACAACGGCCTTCTAAGTTTGGTAATGCATCATTTCTTCAGCTGGGTAGTAAGTTAAGATGTTAATTTTAATATATTTCTTTATATGTATGTTTTACACATGTCTCCATATATTTGATAAATTTCACAATTGTTTTAAAAGTCAGTTTAGTTACCTACTAGCTGGGATCTGTGGTTTTTCTGAACATTGCTAATAATAATACTGCCACCTATCCCATGGAGTTGTTCTGAAGTTCAAAGGAGATAGAAGTGTGAGTGACTGTGATGGCGGATATTTTACAGAATAGGAAACATATGAGGTAAACATGTCCCTAAAGATTTCATTCTGGGTACTGTCCAGGACCACAGAATCCAGAGTGTCTAAGCAGTTATTAAAGTCAAGAAGGTACTGAGGTGTCTGTGTTCTCATTGTAGAGTGAGAAATCCCATGTTCAATTCAACCCATGGGAGAACCATCATAATGAAGTGATAGCAAATTTTTCAATAAATGTGTAAATATGAGCTTTTATTGTTATGTTGTTGTAATAATGACCATAGTACTGAAAGGATCTGGAAATCATGTCACAGAAGAAGAAATTATTTTAGACGTGTTTATACTAAAATTTAGGCTAAGCGATAATAACAATGACACAACTGTCCTCATTTTTGGGATAAACAACAGACACAGATCTATTTGTTAAGGGTTCTTCCAGAGGATGGACTGGAGAGACCGCAGGAATTTAAAAGTCAGTACCCTTCTGGTTCAATATAAGAAAGAACTTTTTGACAATCAGTCAGAGGAAACACAGAATAGACTGTATGGTAATTCCCTTGCACTTGAATTATTTGGATAAAGACAGAGTTTAGCAGAGACTCCTGTATCTGATGAAAACAAGTATTTTAAAAATAAACAACGTTAAATTAAAACTACAGATAATAGGCTGGGCACAGTGGCCCATGCCTGTAATCCCAGCACTTTGGAAGGCCATGGCAGGAGGATTGCTTGAGTTGAGGAGTTTGAGACCAGTCTGGGCAACATGGCAAGACCTCATCTTTACTAAAAACAGCAACAACGAAAAATCAGCCAGGCATGTGGGCATGTGCCTGTAGTCCGAGTTACTTGAGAGGCTGAGATGGGAAGATCAATTGATCGCCTGGAAGATTAAGGATGCAGTGAGCTATGATCATACCACTGCACTCCAGCATGAGCGACAGAGCAAGACCCTGTCTCAAAAAAAATAAAACAAAATAAAAATACAAATAACAAAACTTTCTGTCACATTTATTTCAAAAGTTAGCTGTCCTGCTTAATATCCATCAACTACAAATAACTTAGTTTACCTCTTGGAGCCCCAATTTCCTCATCTGTAATAAGATATCTTTCCTTCAAGGTTATTTGGTAAAAATCAATGTGATATATATGGAAGTTGCTTAGCACTGATGTTCCATAAGTGCTCAATCAGCAGCTATAATTTCTAAAATTATTATTAAAGGCTTCTAAACTTGTTTCTCGCTAGATAAATAAAAAATGACATCAGTACAAGGGGGAAAAAAAAAACTTTCACATTTGAAAACAGCCTAAGAACTTGTATCTGTTACTTGAAGGAAAGTGGCAAAACTGATATCCCTGGATCAGTTTCTTTAAAATGTTATCAAATGGCCTCTGGTCTCCCAGAAAGTTTCCTTGAACATGCTTTGTTCAGAAATCTTCGCCCATAAAAAATCTCTTAAATTTCACAACCACAAAGAATTTTCTAGTTTGCTGAAATAAAAATAAGACAGGAATTATGAAGATAAGTCTTAGCACAGCAAACTACATATTTACTACAATAAATAAATACTCAGGCCATCAGCTTTTAAAAATATCTAAAGCTAAGAAAAAGAATATACATATACATGTCTATTTATATCCTCTGTATTTAACCTGCAGAAAGCCAATCTTTAAAAAGTCAATGTCTATAAACAGGAAATGCTGCACTTCAAGATTAAACCACAGTAATTTATTATAAGTAAATAAGCATCCTACAAACAACTTCACTATAAGGACACTTGCAAATCTTTTCTTCTTATATAGTACTTTTTAAGTTCAGATTAAGTCAAGCTGTTCTCCATGAACATAATAATGGCGGAATCTCAGAGTTTAAAATCGTATGCAGTTTACTGAAGTTATCTTTCTATCTTGTGGAAGCACTCTGCTACACTCTGGTTTTTAGCTGGGTTCTGTTTTTTACTTGAGTTTCAAAACTAGCTTCAAATTACTAGTTGATGGTGTTGATGGTCACATACGGTAACAAAGTTGGTGGATTCGCTGAAATTAAAACCAACTCCTATTTACCACCCTTCTTTTCAAGCACAGATCAATTATTTACGATCAGGTTCACCAACACTATGTTTTAGGAGGCAGTCCATCTGAAGCCAGCTATAAATAAAGTAAATAGAATCTGACCTCAAAACTTCTTGACTCCACAGAGAACTGAAAGAAGATGGGAGGGGAGAAGCAAAGGAAGAAACAAAAAAAAACGAGGAAAGAAAAAGAATGGAACAAAAGAAGCCAATATCCAATGAGCTGCTTCTATGCCAGAATTACAATTTTACTTCATTCTTTGTCAATTTGTCATCATTTAATTATCACAACCCCATAAGGCAATATTATGTTCCTCTTATTTAAGATTGAGAAACTGCAGCTCAAAAAGACTAAATTGCTTACTGGGGCCACAAAGTAAGGAGGAAAACCAGAATTTGACGTGGGGTCTGATTCCAAAGCCTGGGCACTTATTTTCTACATCAGAAAAAATATTTTCAGTGTTTTTAGATGCGAGTTGTTTAGGAATTTTTAAAACAAAAAGGAATTAAATAGTTCCAAATTATAGCACAGATAGCGAAAACCATACACATAAGTTTTTAACCACCTCTAAGAATCCAAAGTGTAAGGCTGTCGCCATTATGCATGAGATGCACGTGTAATTATAAAGAAAGAACAGGAAACCTCAAGTGGAGATTGCTTGTAAAGAGTGATGAAGCCACATCTAAAAGCAAGACAAAGACAGGGAGTATCAAGTACTCATAGCCTCTTACCTGCTGTACTTCACTTTCTCCATTTGAGATTTTCTCAGTGTAAACAAAGGAGTTGAATATCCGCTGCAATGAAAAGAAAATGAACATGAGATTTTCTAAGTAAGTCATTTTCTATATGAGTGTGTATGTGAATAATTTGTTTACAACAAATAGAATCTAGTAGAAAAAAAATTTTTAATTAAAATGCAATAATTTTACAGACAGAAACCCAAGTATCAGCCAAAGTCAATCACACTTATGTAAGCAATACCCAGGCACCTCTGTAGTGAAATAAACCAGGCGTTACACTGTATTTTTCATTTTCAAAAATACATTTAATTATAGATTTCCGGAGTCCATGCCATTTTATCCAACTGGTATAATCTTGACAAAGTTGTGTTTCTCATTTAAATCCTGCACTCCCTGAATGCCGTAATTGTTTACAGCCTCTAACATCTAATGCAATAAAGCTCTTTGAAAGGGATTCTTTCCATATTCTCTCATGTCCCTGTTCAGTCCCTACCCAATATTATCTATCACCTTCGTTACTCAAGCACCCCCTCGGGAGAGTAACATAATAGGGCTTGCCAAATATGTGTGGACTTAAGAGAAGATCCAGTTCTTACATGCCAGGAAATATGACAGCTGTGCCAAGACGTTAGGCCAAACTACAGCACACAAGCACACACATTCTTCCCCTGGTCCCTGCCTAGCTGGTACCTAGTCCTCCATACATCACCTCTATTTAAAATGTCTCTGCAGACTTAGGACTTTACCAAACTGTACCGTTACTGAGTAATCACAAGAGATTAACATATAACAAAGTAAAGAATGAGAATGCAAGTTATGTATCTGTTAGAGGAGCAAAAAAAAAAAAAAAAAAAAAAGAGCAGCAGCCGCATCATTTATCTTCAAGCTTTAAAGATACCACTGAACTCTCCAGATGAGTAAGGAGTCAGACCTGGAGATGTCAGCCAAAATTTCCTTCTTCCTTTCCATCCTGCTGCCAGGGTTTGTCAGCATCTGGGACAGCTTCCCAGACGGCCTAACACACCTGCATGGTTGTGGTACAGAAGACAAGTGAAGCCAAGTTCATCATGCAATGTACATCTAAACAGACCAAATGAAGGAAGATCAAGCTGCTGGGGCTTAGAGGGAGGTTTTGGTCAGGAGGTGGAGTGCAGGGTGGAGGGAAGCAAACAAACTTGAGAAGGACTAGGATGAAATTACAGTCTGGAAAATTATAATTACAAATCATGGTGCCTCCCATCATTCTCCAATGTGCCACTTATTCATTCAACAGGTGTTTACTGTCATTTTCTTTTCTGAAAATGACTCTGCCAGTAGGAAAGTTCATTACAGGTTTCTAGTAATGTTCATAATGATATTATCATTGGCTAGTATCTACTGAATAGTTACCATGGCGTGGACACCATTATAAGCACATTACATTTATTTATTTAACTCTCATAAAACACCTTTGTGAGAGGCACTATTATTATCTCTACATAGATGAGGAAACTGAAGCATATTTACGAAGTGCCTAGGGCAATTCAGATATTGTACCTCATGTGTATATTTTATTTCATATTCATTTCAAAATTACCATAGCTTTAAAGAGGAAAAACTAAGAGCCTGGGAGATTAAATAACATACCCCCAAATCACTTGGCAAGGCTGGAATCTGAACCCAGGCAATGTGACTTCAGATCTGGCACTCCTAACTCTGTTGTCTTATAAGAATTTGCTACCTGATTGCTTTACATACATTAAAAGATGCTGCGATCAGGAGCTAAGACCTGAACATGATGCAGATCAACAATCCCTATGTGTCATTTCAAAATTCAAAAGGCTCGAAAATCAAAAGTTTTACATAACACATTTGTTAGCAAAATACGAAATAGCCTGAACTTATTTGGGAGTAAATCCTAACTTGAACTGATGTGTATGTATAGTCCTCATTAAACCACTTAGTGTGATATTCATACATTTTGATGCAGATCTCAACCAATGTATTTGATTATGGGGTTCTGCTCTAGATCTCACTACAGGTGTTTTACATTCAGGGGCATTAGGATTCTAAATCCTGGAATACTCATTTTGGAAGAAGCACTAAGAACCTATAGACCTCCATTCTTACAACTCCACGTTCCCAGATCCTTGGGGGACACCTTAGTTGACTACATTATAATGCTCTTAGAGGCCTGGTCAATGTCAACACCACCCATGCCCCCCAGAATACATTCTCTGTTCTCATACAATTTGATTTCCAAAAACTGTTAAATAGTGCCAACAGTACATTTTTATTAAAAGTAACATAATTCATGTAGTGACTTCAGATCTTGATAAACATAGCCAATTCCTTATTTCCTTTCTGGCAGTGATATTCCAATTGATACAGTATCTGTTCTATCTTGGCAAATGCTTCCGCCAGAGTTGATTGATGAAGGAGGCATGAACTACTCCAGATCCACCCTGCTCAAGCCAGTACCCACAAAGGGCCAAATCAGATACTTCCTTCTCCTTTTTGTTTAAACAAAGGTGAATTCCTCAGTAGTAATAAAGAATATATGCCCGGAAGGGATCGAGAGGCTGTGTTTTGGTCCCTGTTTTATTCATTTATTATCTTAACAGGAGTGATTACTAATACTTTTATCTTAGTAGATCTTCTTACGACATAAGCATTTTTATATTCTTTATATCTAATAAATATGGGTGGGCAAAAGAAAATTTTAAAAGCAAGAAAGATGTTTTAAATGTGAGCAGTGGTGACTCTATAGACTACCTATTTTGTATAACCCTGTATTGACCCCAGAAGTGAAAGGGGATGTGGTAGGTCGCAGTTCGGGGCTATCACCAAAGCAAAACATTTCTTTGCCCCTTCTCCTTCCTCAAGCGGTTGGGGTGTGAGATGGAGAAGAGCTTTAAGAACTTCAGTGAGGGCCGGGCGCGGTGGCTCAAGCCTGTAATCCCAGCACTTTGGGAGGCTGAGACGGGCAGATCACGAGGTCGGGAGATCACGACCATACTGGCTAACATGGTGAAACCCCGTCTTTACTAAAAAATACAAAAAACTAGCCGGGCGAGGTGGCGGGCGCCTGTAGTCCCAGCTACTCAGGAGGCTGAGGCAGGAGAATGGCATAAGCCTGGGAGGCGGAGCTTGCAGTGAGCTGAGATCCGGCCACTGCACTCCAGCCTGGGCGACAGAGCGAGGCTCTGTCTCAAAAAAAAAAAAAAAAAAAAAAAAAAAAGAACTTCAGTGAGATGCCATTGGAAGCCAGTAGAACCTAGACAAGTACAAGTAACTCATGACTTAACCGATCAGCCACAAGTGCTAGGTTAAAAGTTCAGGCTTAGGCTGGGCACAGTGGCTCATGCCTGTAATCCCAACATTTTGGGAGGCCGAAGTGGCTGGATCACCTGAGGTCAGAAGTTCAAGACAAGACTGGCTAACATGGTGAAACCCCGTTTCTATTAAAAATACAAAAAATTAGCCAGGTGTGGTGGCGCATGCCTGTAATCCCAGCTACTTGGGAGGCTGAGGCAGGAAAATCACTTGAACCTGGGAGGCGGAGGTTGCAGTGAGTCAAGATCGCACCATCGCACTCCAGCTTGGGCAACAAGAGCGAAACTCTGTCTCAAAAAAAAACAAAACAACAACAACAACAAAAAAGTTCAGGCTTATGTGTGTGCACAAGATCTCAAACTACAGGGTGAATTTTCACTATGCTTTAGGTCAATGGACAGTAATCGTCTTTCTTAAAATGCAAGGCCTGCTAAGCCCAGCTCTCAAAGGCTTAGTACTTTTACACTTTACAGTTTCAAATAAATTATTGCATTTGATTTTCACAACAACTGTATGTGGCAGGCAGGGCAGGGGTCTGAAACCACATTTTACAGACTAAAAAACTACATTTCCAAAGGTAGAAAATATATCTGAGGTAAAAAGTTGAAGCATTGAGGCCTAAATCTAGGCCTTGAGTTAAAAACAGGCATTGTATTTAGCAAAGCTATTAAAAAACAAATTCATTCATATTACCTTCTTCTTCTGCATAGCCTATCCTAATACCTGTATGTAGGAAAAAAAAAAATGAGCATTTGGGGATTTTTTTTTTCTATCCAAAATTTTATTTTAAGCAAGATATATTGTCCAGGGTAATTAAAGAATCCCAGACAAAGGTTTTGTTTTTGTTACTTTCTATTGCTATGTAAAATTATAAAAGAAATAGAGTACGGGGCTTTTTGGAGCTTTTGATTTTAATTCAAGAGCCAGGAATTCAAAGTGATACACCTACCCGACATTTTTGTGACTTCAGGGTAAAGATTTTCCTGGTTAATAGAGGACTTGCAAAATGGAAATGCAAAGGAAAAGTTTTCCTAAAACATGAAAATGATCAGCCACTGGGCATGGTGGCTCATGCCTGTAATCCCAGAATTATGGGAGGCTGAGACAGGTGGATCACTTAAGCTTAGGAGTTCAAGAGCAGCCTGGCCAACATGGCAAAACCTCGTCTATATGAAAAAAAACAAAAATTAGCCAGGTGTGATGGCACCCATGGGTAGTTCAGCTACTTAGGAGGCAGAGGTGGGAGGATCACTTGAGCCCAGGAGGCAGAGGCTGCAATGAGCCAAGATTGTGCCACTGCACTCCAGCCTGGGTAACAGAGTCAGACCATGTCCCCCCCCCTCCCCCGAAAAAAAAAAAAATTAAACAAAAAAGAAAAAAGAAAAGAAAACGAAGAGCCATCATGACAGGTCTGATTCTTCAGTCCTCTTGGATGATTTGCCCACAGTAACAGGGTTAGGGTATGGGTAGGCAGGATGAACATTCTGCTTTCTATTCCAATTTATCACTTTCCTTTATCCCCGCTCCCCGGAGGGCTAAAGGAATCCCAGAAATCCGAACTCTTAATGTGAACACAACCCGAAGGGAGTCAGAAGTTAACTCTCCTCACTTTGCAAATCCCTGAAAATTAAGCTAAAGATACTGCCCAGCCCTGCCCATTACTCTTTCTTGTTCTTAAAATTCTTCATCAAATACTAAAACTAAAAATACGTGTTATTATATAGTGAACAGATTAAAAT